TGTGTGTGTGTGTGTGTGTGTGTGTGTGTGTGTGTGTTTCTCCGTCATGGCAGGCAGTGGCCTCAAGCTGTGCCAGCCAGCGTGGCCGGCATCTGGCCGCTGGCAGTGTGCTCGGGCCCCTTGGGCAGTTGAGGGATGCGCTGGGAGTGGCAGCAGAGTGGGTCAGTTGTCCTCTTAGGTCTGGGCAGGTTTTTAGCCTGTGACATCTGAGGAGGACTTAGTGGCCAGAGGGAGCATGAGCCCCCCAACTCCCTGGCGTGGGGCTGGGCGGCTCCGCTCTGTGTGTACGCGGCCTGGGCGGCTGTCCCGAGTGTGCCTCTCCTGGGGCACCTGCTGCTCTGGGGCTCCCGCTGTGCAGGCGCGCCTGCAGGCCTGTGTGTGAAGGGGTGTACACGTGAAGCATGGGGGCATCCCAAGGGCTGTCCCAGCTGGCACATCGCCCTGTCAGAACCCCCACATCTGTGACACACAGTGGGTCCCCAACTTTGGTGCTCTAGCGCCGCTGTTGCCATAGTGACAGTGCTGGTGTAGTCTTCTCCCCCATCCCTCCCTCAAGGGGGGAAATAGCTAATTCACAGGGACCTGCCTTCGGGTAGCGCTCGGTGCCAGCCAGCCGCTAGGGCGCCCGCCATGTGGCAGAAGAGGCAGTGAGGGTGGGTTCTTGTGCCAGAGGTCAGAGCCCTGGGTGTTGAGGCCATCCTCCGTTCACAGGTGGGGAGACCGAGGCTTGCAGCCTGGAGGTGACGTTTGAGCAGAGACCTGACTTCTGCGAGGGGCGAGCCAGGTAGATATCTGGGGGAGAAGGCTGTTTCGGCAGGGGGATGGCATGCAGGCCCCGGAGTGGGCGGACCCTGCGTGAGGCGCAGGTGGCCTGGCCAGGGCCGGGATTGTGCCGTATGTGAACGGGGCTCCGCTGGTGCTGGGGAGGTGGGGTGCGACGCACGGACGCAGAGCAGGGAGCCCTGGGTGCGGCCGCGGACCTTGGCGTGGGGAGAAGCGGTTCCCACTCCCAGAAGGCCCCGTCACTCGCCGGCTGCTCCTCGGCCGCTGCCCAAGCAGGGTGGAGGCTGGCTGGGTGCTGCAAGTAGGGTGGCACCTCACGCGGGGCCTGGGCAGAGTGGGGTGCATCTGACTCTTCTGTGGGGGACAAGGCAGCTGGCATCGGGGCTCCACTAAGATTGGGGGGAACTGGCCTTCCTGTGACACGGGCTGAGGCAGCCCAGAGCTGAGCTGCCTGTGGCCTCACTGTTGGAGGGCGTCTCCATTGTAGCGCACACGCCTGCACCCCTCTGTCGCGCCTGCTGCCCGCCCCGGGCTCCATGAGTGCCGCTTCCTCCCCCACCCCCTTCACATGGTGGGAACACGTGACAGAACCGCAGTCCCGGGGCAGGGGAGATGGGAGCGGGAGTCAGGAGGAGCTGGGGGTGACACCTTGGGCCCCTGGGAATCTGAGGCCAGTGGTGACTCTTGGTCACACTGCAGAGAGCTGTTGCCGTCCCCTAACGGGCTGCCCTCACAGTGTGCAGGACCGGCACTCTCTGCCTAGCTCCAGAACATTCTGTCACCTAGAAAAGGGAGCCCCGTGCCCATCGGCAGTCGTCCTGTCCCCCCAGCCCACAAGCCCGTGCTCTGCTTCTGTGGCTGTGCCTGTTCTGGACAGTTCTCGTCAGTGGACGCACGCTGTGGCCGGCGTCTGCTTCTCCCCGAGCACCACGTGGCAGCGAGTGTCCGCGCTGCCCTCGCCCGGGCGACCAGGCCTGGCGTGTGCCCTGGCTGTTTCCCCGGCCCACGGGAGCGCGGTGTCAGCACGGGTGTCGGTTTTCGAGTCTCTGGGGCACATAGCGGGGAGCAGAATTGCTGGGCGGTGTGGCGACTGCTGCTTCGATTAACTGTCCGCGTTTCCCTGTTTCGTGACCCCACCGGCGGCTTAAGGGCCCCGATCTGCCCCCGCTCGCCAGCACGTGACGGCGCCCAGAGCCCGCCCGCTGGCAAGGGTTTGAGTGGCCGGGCCCTGTGGACCATTGAGTCTTGTCCCAGGCTTGTGGCCATTTGTACGTCTCCTTGGGAAGAAGGAAAGTCGGCCCTGCTCCCCCGGCCGGGCTTCCGTCGGGCTGCCTGTGTTACGTGCTGGGCACCCCCGCGCGGGCTGGAGCCCGCACCCGCTGCCCTCGGCCTGCTGGGACCCTGGCCTGCCTTGGCTTTCGGAGGGGAGGGGAGGGGGGTCGGCGGCGCTTGGGCTGGAGGGTGGCCCTGCCCTGCTCGCTCTCCACGCTGTCGGCGACCTGTTGCGGGGGAGAGGGGACAGCGGCTCTGGGGTGCCGCTGCAGGCCTCGGCCCACACACCTGATGGCACAGTCTCGGCACCGCGTTTGCGGGCCTGGGCTTGTATCAGCGGTTGCAGGCTCCGTACTGAGGCGACAGAATTTTCCAGAAGTGCTGTGTGGGGCATCTGTGTCGGAGGCTTCCTGGGGCTGGCCTGCCCGGAGGCCGCAGTCTCGTCCTCATCAGCTGGCTCCGCACACTGGCCCGTGTCAGTGGGCTGCCTGCTGTGGGTCGTGTCTGAGCTTTTATTAGCTAATGCAGTCAGGACGCACTGTGGGTGTGGAGGCTGACAAAAACTTGGGGGTGGGGGTGACTGGAGCTGGGGTCTCGCCTGAGAGAGGAGAGCTGGGCCAGCGGTTCGGCTCACGGGTTTGTGCGGTGGGTGTCACCTGGCTGTGGGCCCGACGCAGACCCTGGCGGTGCACAGAATGGTGCCGGCGACTGTGGGCGTTGCCCCGACCTCTGCTGCGTGTGTGGCCTGAACAGGGGGTCCAGGGAGCCCAGGAGAGCTGCCTACATGGGGGCCAGGCCCCCCGAGATCAGGCTGACGGATGTTCTCCTCCCACAGGACTATATCTGTCCAAGATGTGAGTCCGGTTTTATCGAGGAGCTTCCAGAAGAGACCAGGTAACAGCCCCTTGGTCATAGGGGCCTGGGCTTGCTGGCAGGACCCAGGCGCCTTGGGTGAGGGCATGACTCCCGTGTTGGCCTGACCCACTGTGTCCTCCCAGGAGCGCAGAGAGCGGCTCCGCCCCCTCCACCGCCCCCACGGACCAGAGCCGGCAGCCCTTTGAGGTGAGCACTACGTCCCACGGGCAGGGCCCTCCCCTGCCCACAGTCGCCAGCCCGTACCCCATGCCACATGGTTTTGCTGGCGTCTCCCGCCCTGGGCCCGTAGCCCAGCAGGACAGGCAGGGCCGGGACCAGCTGGCAACTTAGAGCTCCTGCCCCTCCTCTCTGCAGAATGTCGACCAGCACCTGTTCACACTGCCACAGGGCTACGGGCAGTTTGCTTTCGGCATCTTTGACGACAGCTTTGAGATCCCCACGTTCCCCCCTGGAGCACAGGCTGATGACGGCAGAGACCCCGAGGGCCGGCGCGAGCGAGAGCAGCATTCCCGGCACCGTTACGGCGCCCGGCAGCCCCGTGCCCGCCTCACTGCGCGGAGGGCCACTGGCCGGCACGAAGGCGTCCCCACACTGGAAGGGTGAGGGGGGTGGGGGAGGCAGAGGCGGCGGGACACGCAGGGCTTCTGGCCTGCCTGCTCCTGCTCAGAGCATCCGCCTGCCCTCGCACAAGGTTCTGTGGCCACCCTGGTTGGGTGCTGCCTCTGGAGAGGTCTGTGGGGCGGGCGGTTTCCCCTAGCGTTCTGGCAGATCTGCCTGAACCCACGCTGGGAGGAGAGGCAGCAGGGAGCGTCACACTCACTGAGTGTCCACAGGACCCGCTGCCCAGTGGTGGCTGGTCAGCAGGTTGCCCCCTAGCAGAGCCTGAGTGCTCTCCTGGCCACAGGCCCTTGGTGTGGGGCTAGCACCGAAAAGCCTGTTTTTAAGCCGAGCACAGTGCAGAGGAGGAAGGTTAGGCCAGGCCTGGTGGTGCCCCGGCCTCCCCCACGCCCAGAGGACACTGGCCAGACCTCGGGCTTCTGGAGACAGCTCAGCTACAGGGGCACACGCCAGTGCCCCATAGTGCAGTCTGGACGTGGCTGAGGGTGCCACGTCCTGTGCCTGCCGACATGATGCCCAGGTCTCGTGTTGGGGCCCTGACCCACAGTCCCCTGGGTGATGGGCCCAGACCCCTGTGGAGGGAGTCACCGGGCCTCTCACCTGCCAGCACGGCCTGTAAGAGCTGCGAGCGCCGCCTCACCGGCTCAGCCCGGCGGGCTGACTGCGGCCACCCTCTGTTCCAGGATCATCCAGCAGCTGGTGAACGGCATCATCACTCCCGCCACCATCCCCAACCTGGGCCTGGGCCCCTGGTGAGTAGGTGGGCGTTCCCCTCGCCCTGCACCCTGCTCAGCCCCTCTGCCGCTTGAACCCCGACCTCTCTGCCCAGGGGTGTCCTGCACTCAAACCCGATGGACTATGCCTGGGGCGCCAACGGCCTGGACGCCATCATCACGCAGGTACGGGTGGGCCTCCC